AAATTCATTTTAAAAATCCACGCCTTTGATAGGCCTTGGAAAAATATTGTTTAAAAAATTCATTTTAAAAATCCACGTCTTTGATAGGCCTTGGAAAAATATTGTTTAAAAAATTCATTTTAAAAATCCACGCCTTTGATAGGCCTTGGAAAAATATTGTTTAAAAAATTCATTTTAAAAATCCACGCCTTTGATAGGCCTTGGAAAAATATTGTTTAAAAAATTCATTTTAAAACCACGCCTTTGATAGGCATTGAAAAAATATTGTTAAAAAAATCATTTAAAAAAACCACGCCTTGAAAAAAAATTGTTAAAAAAAATCATTTTAAAAATCCACGCCTTTGATAGGCCTTGAAAAAATATTCTTTAAAAAATCCACGCCTTTGTTAAATTTTTAAAAAAATAACCTTTAAAAATATATATGGGAGCTAAATCTAAATCTGAACCGATTTTCACGAAACTTGGCACACTTCATTCTAGGCCTAATTCATTACGCTATGCCAAATTTCGTGCAAATCGAAAGATATATAGGGTTTTTGGTGCACCATTTACATTCAATTTTAAAAAATAGTCTTTAAAAATATGTATGGGAGCTACACCTAAATCCGAACCGATTTTTCCTATACGGCATTTACATTAGAACTTTTTACCGGGTTAACCTACTTTATGAGGATTTATTTGGCATATATTCAAAGGAATTGAAAATTTAAACCCACTGGGTTAACCAAATCCGGTTTAATGTAAACGACCTTCTAATTTCATTAGGGTTCGTCCTTGGGCCAAATAAATGAGCTGTGCCAAATTTCATTCAATTCAAATCATAAATGCGACCTGTACTTTGTTTACAATTTAACAGGGAAAGACAGACGGACGGACATAAATCGACTCAGAAAGTGATTCTAATCCATAAAAATCCACGCCTTTGTTAGGCCTTGAAAAAATGATCTTTTTGAAATCCACGCCTTTCTTTAAAAAATCCACTTCTTTATTATCGCTTCAAAAAATATTCTTTAAATAATCCACGCCTTTATTATCCCTTCAAACAATATTCTTTAAAAAAAAATCCACGCAAAAAATATTCTTTAAAAACTCTACGTTGTTGCTCAGTCATTTTTGTGATGTTACCATTATATAATGTTTACGTTACTTGTCCACTAATCCCGTTGTTATGCCTGGCAATGCCATCAATTCAACCCTTTTCAGAAAGCTTATCTGTGTAATAAAAAAAGCTTTGTTTAACAACAAAAACCGATGCCGGCATTTTTGCGCCAACAAAACTTTCTGCACACATTTTGTTGTTGTTGCTGTTGTTTCAATAATTTCTTCGTGACAACGAACTATTGGCAACGACATTCGTGAGAATTTGCTTGCGCTAGACGGACACGGTATCGCGGAGTTGCGCTATTCACACAATCGCTAATTTATTCTTTTATTAATTAACAACAAAAAGAAACAACATTTAAAGGTGAGTTGGAACAACAACAAAAATATTGTTAAAGTGCAAACAAAAAATATGAACAATATTTCGATATTTATGTATGTATAAAAGTGGAATGTGTGAAAGCAAAATTGAGAAGCAAGAAAAATGAAACGAACTGCAAGTACTCTTGCAATTGTGTTGGTGTCGTTCGTCAGACATTTGTTTGCGGAAATAATTATTTTTCAAGAGTCAAATTGCCATTAAATTGTAAATTTTTTTCTCTATTTGTGATTGTGTTAATTGTTTTATAACTATATAAATTATTTATGAAATGGCTAATCAATAGAAGTTCATAGAAATTTATAGAATTTTGATCGATTGTGCCTCAGTCGACGGCCGGTCGTAACAAAATGTGAAATAGTTGTTGCTGTCAAAGATTTGCAAAGTCATGATTTTTTCAAAGTTCTTCATCATCACCGAAGCCGACCAAAAGCAAAAGGGAACATAAAAAACAGCGGAATTGTTGCTTCTTTTCTTCCCCTTTATCTGTCATTGGATGTTGTGTGCGAATTTGTTTTCTGCCCTGGGGTATAAATTTTGCACATAAGTTTTGTAGAAAAAACAACAACAACTATAATAATACTCAGTTCATCTCCCTATATTCGTGACACATGATTTACTCATATGTTTTGTGTGTTTCTTTTACAAATTCCCATCATTTGAGGTGTTTCATCGGATGAAAGAAACTACCTAAGAAACCGGTTTTCAAATTTCTTTTTTTTTATGGGATTTCAATGTGAAGGGGAAAAATCCATATTTCTACATGGGTAACCTTCGAAAGGAGTTGGCTGGTCTACTCATATCACAATTTTGTATTGCGTAATTATTTTTATAACATTTCTTGTTGCTGCTCCACATATCTACCGGTTTGATGGTGGTGTAGGCTTGTTTGTGCAGACCCATTATTTATCAGGAAATGAACTTTAAAACTTCGTTAAATTTCAAAAATTTGTTCTTGTTTTTTTCCAAAGCTATTAATCTTCTCAATCTACTAGTATGTAGTAGTGATGATCTTATCACTAGACGGACGGATCGGGTTATCTGTAATTTATTGCATTGACAACTAGTATAATTATTGTTATGTGTTTATAATTTTTAGCGATAATTTAATGGTATTTTTTGAATAACAACAAACAAATACGACATTTGGGAATGTAAATTATGTGTGAACTCACTTTTGGGAAGTTTCCAGAAGTTCGATGGAACACACGTCAATATCAAATTAATACCATATTAGACTATTCGAAAGTCGGCGGTGACGTTTTAAATATGATGGATGGATAATAGATTATAACAATCGAATAGAATGATAAATATCTTATTAAGGTGAAAACATTTTCCGGACGTCCTAGCATTTCAGACTAATATGTATCTATATTTGTTATACATTTCAGGAAGCAGGAAAAACATAAAGAATCAGTTTGCACATTGAATAAATAACTTTTTATATCCTCCACCATAATATGAAGTTTATATTAATTTTGTTATTCCGTTTGTACATCATCGAAATAATCATTTCCGACCCTATAAAGTATATATCATCAGCGTAGAATTCTATGACGATTTAGCCATGTCCGTCTGTCTGTTGTAATCGCTCTAGCCTCTAAAAGAATTGAAAAACAAAATTTTGCGTAGAGTCGTCTTTTGTCTGCAGGCAGGCCAAGTTCGAAGATGGGCTATATCGGTCTACGTCGGTATTTTGGGGTTACTGGGTGCGTTTTTCAACCGAAATTGATGAAATTTGGTACATTGGGTTCTTATTGGGTCCTAAATTTATCCACTAAAAATTATAAATATAGGTTCACTTTCTTTGGTAGGCCCCATGTAAGGGTACCACCCAATTTGCAGTTTTTTGGGGTTTTGGCGGAGTTGGCTGTAATTTAGTACGTTGGATTCTAAGAAAATTATAGATATAGGTCAATCTTTTCGGGTAGCCCCCGTGTAAGGGTACCCTCTAATTTTCGGTATTTTTTTTTTTTTTTTTTTTTTTGTTCTTGAGCGCGGTTTTCAACCAAATTCGCAGTAATTTGGTATTCCCTACCAAAAATTATTAATATTCGCCCCCTATTAGGGGTAGTCCCCATACAACCTCCTTTTTATACCTATCACTACACTGTGGTACAGGGTGCATATGTTTGTAACAGGCAAAAGGAAACGACATAGACACATGGTTCATATATATCTCTCGACTTGCACGAAATTTGGCACAGCGTAATGAAATAGGTCTAGAATGTTATGTGTAAAGTTTCCTGAAAATCGGTTCAGATTTCGTTATAGCTCCCATATATATTTTGGTCCGATGTAATGTAAACGGCGCACCAAGGTCCCTATATATTTTTCGATTTGCACGAAATTTGGCACAGCGTAATGTCTAGAATGATGTGTGTAAAGTTTCCTGAAAATCGGTTCAGATTTAGATATAGCTCCCATATATATTTTCCACCATATATATTTAGGTCTAGAATGATGTGTGTTAAGTTTCCTGAAAATCGATTCAGATTTAGATATAGCTCCCAAATATATTTTCGTCCGATTTAATGTAAATGGTGTACCAAAATCCCTTAATATCTTTCGGTTTGCACAAAATTTGGAACAGCGTAATGAATTAGTTCTAGAATGATATGTGTTAAGTTTCCTGAAATCGGTACAGATTTAGATATAGCTTCTATATCTGACCAAATGAACAATTTAGTATTGGTTGCAGAATGACATATTTATGGATCCAATTTCACTTTACTGGTCCTTTAAAAATGCGACGTCTGTTAGGATTCATTTGTTGAATATGCCCAAAGTGGTGAAGGGTATCATATAGTCGGCCCCGTTCGACTTTGCTAATTTCTTTACTGATTTATATTAAAATAGTTAACTGATTTGCTCCGGCTTTTGGGGTTGCCTCCATATACCTGTATGGGGATATGCTGTACCCAAAATTTTCCGTATATATCCCAGATAGTATGGAATTGTAATACGATTTAGTCGATTTATCCATCGGTTGTAATAATTCTTCCTTTGGAGGATATCGATATAAAAATCTAGATGGTCGGGTTCGCGAATGACTATATCGGCCCGCATTTAGTCATAGCCCCTACATGAAACCAATTGGCTTAAATTTAGGTCTTTGATGCACTATTTGACTATATATGGGAGCTATAACTAAATCTGAACTCGAAATTGAGCTATATCGTTCCTTAATTAGGCATAACCCTTCATATTATAAAGACACTGAATATTCGCTAATGCTTACACAATGTTGTCGATATTGATCCCGCTTTAAGTATGCCTCATATAACTTTGCCCTCCAAATTGTCGTAACATGCGTACATAATATAGGCCCAAATTTTGGGGTTTTGAGTTTTGTGAAAAACCCCTTAAAATTGCTGATTGTTGTAATTGGTCTACATTATGGTTTGCTACAATCGATTGGTAGAATTGTCGTTATAGGTATTAGTTTAGTCCTTATTTATAATTATCTCATTTAATTGTCCACAATTACTTATGACTATTTTCCAACCTTTTTGTTGTGTTTACAGATGCCCCAATTGCAAAAACCAGCTCCCCAATTCAAGGGTACCGCCGTCGTTAAGGGTGCCTTCAAGGACATCTCCTTGTCCGACTACAAGGGCAAATATGTTGTCTTGTTCTTCTACCCATTGGACTTCACTTTCGTCTGCCCCACCGAAATTATTGCCTTCTCTGATCGTGCTGCTGAATTCCGCAACATTGGATGTGAAGTGATCGGTTGCTCTACCGACAGTCAATACACCCATTTGGCATGGATCAACACACCCCGCAAACAGGGTGGTTTGGGTGAAATGGACATTCCATTGTTGGCTGATAAGTCAATGAAAATTGCTCGCGACTACGGTGTATTGGACGAAGAAACCGGTATTCCATTCCGTGGTCTCTTCATCATCGATAAAAATCAAAACTTGCGCCAAATGACCGTCAACGATTTGCCCGTTGGTCGCAGTGTCGATGAAACCTTGCGTTTGGTGCAGGCATTTCAGTTCACCGACGAACACGGAGAAGTGTGCCCAGCCAACTGGAAGCCCGGACAAAAAACAATGGTCGCCGATCCCAAAAAGTCTCAGGAATATTTTGCTGCCGCTTCGTAAATGTTGTGCGAGTAATCGTATTTACGATGAAGAACATGAGCATATTCATATTAATTAATTAGCAAACAGGGGTGTACAAACATTCGCCCCCTACACCGCTATATCAACAGTAATCAAACAGTAGTTTCCTTAAACATTATATTTATAGTTTTAACTCTGGTAGTTAAAACCACTTTTTTCTATTATTTTCGTATCACTACATTTGTCATTCTTGCTGTCACCATTTTCACCCAAACAAAAGACAAAAATGAAATTTGTATCCCCAAAAGAGGCAGCTAAATAAAGTTAACCCTTACAAAAGGGGTTTACTTTGTTTAGCTTTAATAAATTTAATATTAAAAAAAAACCAATAGAATTTATTTTTTTTCTTTTATTTGTTTTTATAAACAATTGTGATTTTTTTCTATATTTGTTTTGTTTTTTTTTTCCTGCACATGTTAGGGTCTTCGACGACACACCATACAATACTTTTTTTCCTCATTATAAGTACACTTTATCAGTACTTCTTTCAAATATAGGAAATATATATAGATGTAAATGGAGCACCAAAGTCCCTATATATTTCTATTTGCACGAAATTTGGCATAGCGTAATGAATTAAGTCTAGAACGATGTGTGCTAAGTTTCGTAAAAATTGGTTCAGATTTAGATATAGCTCCCATATATACTTTCGTCCGATTTAAGATAAATGGTGCACCAAAGTCCTTTTATATCGTTCGATTTGCACGAAATTTTGGAGAGTGTAGAGTGATGAGTTTCGGGAAAATCGGTTCAGATTTAGATATAGCTCCCATATATATTTTCGTCCGATTTTATGTAAATGGTGCACCAAAGTCCTTGAAAATCATTAGATTTGCACGAATTTTCGCATTGCATACTGAATTAAGCCTAGAATGACGTATGCTAAGTTTCGTGAAAATCGGTTCAGATTTGAATAAAACTCCCATATATATTTTCGTCCGATTTAATGTAAATGGTGAACCAAAATACCTATATATACTTCGATTTGCACGAAATTTGGCATAGGGTAATGACTTGAGTCTACGTATACATTTTCGTCCAATTTAATGTAAATAATGAACCAAAGTCCCTATAAATCTTTTAATTTACACGAAATTTGGTATAGCGCACTGAATGGGTTCTAAAATAATGTTTGTAAAGTTTCCTAAAAATCGGTTTAGATTTAGATATTTTTTGAGGCTATACATAGGCATTGATTTTTGACACATTCTTGCGGACAATTCAAGTTTATTTTTAGATTATTTTGATTTGAGATTTTAGGATCAGGTCGTGGAGCTCATTATGTCAAAAATCAATATTGGATCAAGGTCTTGCCGCATTTTCAACTGAAGTTGCTGCAATTTGTATTCCAGGTTCTTCAACAGTGAAAACCATATTTCAAATTAAACATATAATTGACTAATAAACTATGTCTTTGGGCCAATAAATATGTTCCGCGCAGTCATATAAAACGGAACATATAATTTTTCTTCGATGTGGAAGTTTTTGCCTACATTTTGGTGAATACTCCAAACTTTCGTAAGGGCCCGTTTTTGACATTTCCTTCAGCAAAAGCATGACACATTATGATTCCGAAATATAACCAGTAGTTAATCTTAACATGTGTCATATTCAGATCAATAAATTGTAACTCCTATCTGGGGGAATATCAATTATAAATATTTGGCCCCCATTATGATTTTATTATTTACATTAGGGAATTTAAAAAAGAAATATTTATTTATATATAAGTATTTTTTATTTTGAACTTCACCCAATAAATAATTTTCAAACAAACAAAAAAACTGACCACTTAACACCCACTTTTTGAAAAAATAAAAACAAATTGATAAAAATCTCAATCATCAATGGCTTTGGACTTCCTTAAAGTCCAATTGATATTTTGTTAGTGCGTCTGCTTTCTGTGCACAAAGTGCACACGGTATACTCGTTCTTGATACGGGAATCCGCCATGTCTATGTTAGCTAATCTAACGAAATGTTTATGACTCGCATTTTGTTGTTACGTCGTCAATGGAGCCTAGCCCCCTTACTCTTCACACCATCATGACTGTTATCGGAAAGTATTCTACGATTCTTTCTAGATTTGTCATTAAATAAATGTTAATATATTCAGAGCTGTTGTTGTTGCTGTTCCGACACGTTGCTTTGTCTGTAGATATGTATGAATGAATGTAGGTTTTTTTTTTGCAAAATACAATCGGCGGGTAATAGCGTCATATAATTGCGAAATTAAGTTCGACAGTGAGTGAACCAGATGCTGGTTGGACACTGTTTCCATTTCCGAATACTAATGAAATGGAATAAATTTGGCAAGGCAATTTACATTAAAGTTGTTTTAACAAAAAATGAGTAATTTAGATTGCCGATTCTTGTAAAAAAATTAGGTTTGCAGAAAGTTGTAAGGCGTTCAAATAACATAGAGGCTAAGTTCCTAATGTTTATTCATGCTGTCGATTTTTAGATGAATTAGGTGCTAAGTTTCTCTGTTCTTCTAGGGACTTATTAACTTGTTGATATACAGTATTTTCTATTAGAATCTACAAATGGGCCTACATTCTGTTGCATTGTGTGCTTAATAATCACCCTCAGAAGAAAATCCCAAATCATTTATATTCCAGTGTCATTGTTCGCAATTGTTCTATTTATTGCATTGTAATTTGATATTGGCGGCATGTAATCTTAATTTTTCCGCAATATCCAGCTTACAAATGCTTTCGAAAAAATGCTGGCAATTAATTTGCAAACAATAGAACGAGATCTGTTTCCGAATAGTTTAATTATACGACACAAATAAAAACGTAGTTCGGCGTAGTGAGGGTCTATCCAAAGTCGTGGATTTTTAGGACCATGGACGTGGATTTTTTAAAGAAGATTTTTAGGGGTTCTATCCATATGCGTGGATTTTTGAAGATTTTTTGAGGCTCTATCCATAGGCGTTATTTTTTAATTAGGATTTGTTGAGGTCTATCCATAGGCGTGCATTTTTTAAAGACGATTTTTTGAGGTCTATTCTTACGCGTTAATTTTTTAAAGATGGTCCTATAATCTGTTTTTAAACAAGACTTTTTAAGGTTCAATCCCTAGGCGTGGATTTTTAAGGAAGACTTTTTGAGACTCAATCCCTAGGCGTGAATTTTTAAGGGAGACTTTTTGAGACTCAAACCCTAGGCGTGGATTTTTAAGGAAGACTTTTTGAGACTCAATCCCTAGGCGTGAATTTTTAAGGGAGACTTTTTGAGACTCAAACCCGGTAATCACGAAAGCGTCTGACTATCTCAGACGCTTTCGTGATTACCGGGATTTCTGCTTGAAAAATGCTGCAAAGATCGTTAAGTTTATATGAGTTATAGATTTCTAGTTCCCTGCAGTAAACGCCTCCATAGTTAAGGAGCCACCAGTCCAGGATTCTCTGCAAGGAAACTCCACTCTAATGACATTAAAGTCTCTATGAGAGGGAACGTAGTTACTGATTTGAGTACTCCTTCCTAAGAAGTTACAACCTGGCGTCGTGTAAAAGATACTAGCGTGACCAAATTCAGCGATTTCCAGGCACCCGTTTCCCGGAGCTTCAGAGCACAACTAGCAACCTGGAATTTAAGAAGATGTTCCAGCGGTTGGCGATTCAATATTGCAGTTAAGGCTGCTTGTGGTGTGCTTCTTAATGCTCCAGTTATCAGGATCGAAGTCGATCGCTGTACTGTATTCATTTTTTGCCAGCAGTATCTTCTTGTTGACCCCTATATTTAATAATGGGGAGTACCTCCGTCACATACAACCAGTGTATGACCTCTGGGTTTAGTCCCCAGCTCTGACTATAGAGTTCCTGCAGTTCTTTCATAGTGCGATCCTTAATATTCCTATTCCACGTTAATTTGTAGTTAAGGATTGTACAAAGGTATTTTGGTTCTAAGAAAGGGGAAAGGGGTTGAGTAACCAACCCAAAGATGACAAGCGGAAATTTGGGATCTTACGTTTCCTAGTGAAAAACACCATTTCTGTCTTGGTGGGAATTTGAATTATAGATTATTCGAAAGCAATGCAAACATGAAAGATCTCAGGAGGCCGGTCCTCTACTGAAATGATTTTTTTCATGTGGAACCCTTGTGTACGTCCCTGAATCTTGGTATTGCTATTGGTATTGGTCTATATACCCTTCCACATAGTTGAACAACAACATCATTGTATTTGACAATAAATAATGGCGGATCTACTTTCCACACAAATATATATTGACTAAATGAATGATGAAAGTTATGACCCAATTTTAAGATTCAAATACAAAATAATTAAAGATTTTAAATTGCATCTACTTGGAATGGCCTTTAGCCGGCGACAAAATAATTAAACCAAATACACCTCCCAAATCCCTGCGATCACTTCGTGCCTTTAAATTCATACAAATCTGCTTTCCTTATTACGAATTTGATGGCGCAATAGCCTCCACTCGTATGACACACCGACCCACTAACATGGCAAAATTTCCTTCTACTTTCCACACTCACACACATTTTCATGACAACAAAATGATTTCAATGTTAAGTGCAGCTTGTTTTCGTTTCTTTAACACTTGTGCGCCTAGACTAGCTACAATAGAAAACTTGTTTGTAGCCAGAGAAAAAAGTGTTTAGCTCTCTTGATTGTCTGCTTTGACTCTCTCTTGGGGGAATTGCATGACCACCGCCAATAGATTCACTTTTTAATTCCAATATCCCAATGGAGATTTAATTTCGAACAGGTTTTTCTGTATTACATGTGCACACTGACCGCCACCTGGTTAATTTGCAATAAAAATTAAAAGAATTATTACTGCTGAGCGGAATAATACGAAATTCTTACATGCTAGATATAAGCAATTAGTATGCTTACGATTCTCGCTGCTCGGTGTACATGACTTGCATAGTAAATTAAGATTTTTGCACTATTAGAACACCATTTCCCTGGGGAACAATATACTTTTTACAATCTTTGGCCGTGGGAAAATTCAGCCTCCATGAAGATACATCAGACAACGGCATGAGGTTGATTGA